GGTACTGATCGCCGCCTGAATGTGTGGGATTTAAGGTAATATAGGGTCTGGTAACAAGGTACTGCATAAATGTGCTAATCTTACAGTTTACATAAACCAGGAAAGCAATTTGTTAATCTAACTTCAATAAATTTTATGTAAGACTTTCTGTTATGTAATGCAGAGGTAAAACAGCAAATAACAGAAATGGCTCATGCATTTTGTATGAGTGTTTTGCCTGTGTGTATGTGTGTTCAGCATAATATATGCCAGGTGCTTCACAGCAGAAGAGGGCATCAGATCCCTGAAACTGGAATTAGGAGTAGTCGTACATGGATAGCACTATGTGGCTGCTGGGAAATAAAGCCCTGTAATGCAGGAGCAGCAAGTGCTCTTAACTTCTGAGCTACCTCTCTAGCCCTGAGTTTTGTTGTTGCTCAAGTGTAAAACTCTGTGTTATGTGCTTTGCAATTAAAATATCCTTTTGCTACAAATGACTAGGGATATAGCTCAGTGGTAGAGCTAGCATACAAAGACTGTGGGGTCAGTCTCCAGCAACACAAACATTAAAATATTAACTGTTTATGTATAGTGTTCTTCCTGCATGTACACCTGCATGCCAGAAGAGGGTACCAGATTTCATTATAGAGATTCTGTGTCTTTAGACAAATTCATATTACTGATGTGTAATTTGTATTTCACTGCTGGAAAGCAAAAGGCTTAAAGAGTATAGAGGGTGCACATTAATTATGTATATTTTTGTATTTGTGTTTTCCTTTTAATTCTAATGCATTTAAAGCCACAGTTAAAATATTGGAGAAATTTTGAGCTAATGTTTATTATAAGCAGTATTGCTTCGTTTTACAGCTTTAATTGAGTGGCTTTAGCCCATTTCCAGGAAATAAACAATTCATAATACAGTAATAAAAAAAATCTACCAAGCTGGGCGCAGTGGCACATGCCTATAATCCCAGCACTCTGAGAGGCAGAGCCAAGGGGATCTCTGCAAGTTTGAGGCTAGCCTGGTCTACAAAGTGAGTCCTGGACAGCCAAAGCTGCAAAGAGAACCCTGTCTGAAAAAAAAAACTGAAAATAAATAAAAATAAGTAAATCCTAAATCAGTTCTCAAACTTCCTAATGCTGTGGCCCTTTAATACAGTTCCTCACTCATATCATGGTGACCCCAATTATAGTTACTTTCATTGCTATTTTTTAACTGTAGCTTTGCTGCTGTTACGGATTGTAATGTAAAAATCTATTTTCAGATGGTCTTAGGCAACTGCTGTGAAAGAATGGATCATAAAGGATGGTAATTCATAGGTTGAGAACCACTTTTCCTGAGTGCTTCATATAGAGAAATACTTTACGGGTTGATAAAACATCATGCAATAAGACTTGAGTAATGAAAGCTTCATGTTCTTTCTTGTAGTAAAATTGGAGAAGAACAGTCAGCAGAGGATGCAGAAGATGGGCCTCCAGAACTCCTGGTATGCATTAGATTAAATATTATGCATTCTGAATTATTTCTCATTAGTCTATTGAAGGAATAGGTCAGAGCTTCAAGTTTTAGCTTGCCAATGAGATAAAAAAAAAAAAAAGAATTCTAGGAGTTCTTTGTGATTAGGCTCTGGCATTTATCAAAAATAGTAAATGGAGGCCCAGAAGGTTTTTGGAAATGTTTCAGTGAGGATGGAAAAGTTGTAATCACCTTTCTGTGAAACATGCCAGGCTTAGTAATGGTTCTTTGTCTCTTAATTGTTCAACATTTGTTTCCTCAAATCATTTGGCCATTATCTCTCTAACATGTTTAAATTAGCACTTGACTGAATATTTATTTAAAATCTTAAAGATAACCTTTGAGAGTAACCCCAAGACACAGGTGTTCACTGACTCCCACTTTGTAAGCTCCCTAGCCCCTAAGACTTCTGTGCCTAGCAGTTCCAGACAGAAATCAGGATGATAAGGAGTTTTAGATGACCAGGATGTTCGGTGTTTGTCATTACTGCTTAAAGAATAAGCCTACAACCCAGGAGGCTCACACATGAAGGCCATGACTTTTGAAGCCACATGGGGGAAGTGTGTGTGTGTGTGTGTGTGTGTGTGTGTGTGTGTGTGTGTGTGTGTGTGTGTGTTTTATGTGTATATTTTATTCTGATGGGAAAGGGGGAGTAAAATTTCTCAGTAAACTTACGTAACCAGATGGTGGCATCTAAATATTTTGAGGCTGACTTTTTCTGAAGTCCTGTTTGTGAATCAAAGCCTTCATGCCTTTTAAAGTATTTCCAGGAAGGCCTTTGTCTACAGCTAGTTTTCTCTTTATATATTACGCATTTGCAGTAATTTTAAAGTCCTTAAGGAAAACCATTAGGGGGCTAAAGAGATAGATAGCTCAGCAGTTAAAAATACCTACTGCTCTTGGCAGAGGATCAGAGTTCAGTTCCCAGTCCTCATGCCAGGTAACTGACTCACAATGGCCAGAGGGATGTGACATATCTGGCTTCCATGGGCACTGTACTCAAATGTACATAGTGACACATACCCATATAGTTAAAATAAATCTTTTTAAAAATCTATTAGGATTTTGCTGTGTTCGTAAGAAAGCTTGAAGTCAAAGGGCATTTATTTAAGTGTAGTAAATTATCACCTAGAGAGGCAGTTGAATGGATAAAAGCTAAGGGAGAGTCATGGGTTTGAACCTGGTCTACAGAGCAAGAACTTTCCCCACCCCCACCCTGGGAAAGAAAAAAACATGAAAGAGTGTTCATTTATAAAACTGTTTAGCATTTCACTTATGTGGAGATTGTTTCCTTTTTTCTTTTCTTTTTTGAGATGACTCTGTAGCCCTAGGCCTCAGTCTCAAGTGCGATTATTTAGGTGTAACCCCATCTAAGTCTGCTCATCTGTTTTTTAACTGATAAAATAATTAGGGAATTCATTTAGATTAAATACAACCTAATTGGCAGAAAACTTAGTTAAAGTCAAACTTTGTTAGTATGAAGAATATTAGGTATGGTACGGTTTTATAAGGTAGTCTTTTGTAGAAAGTAAGATTCCTTTACTATTCCTTGGTAAAGTTCATTGGCCACTGCAAGTCTTGGTACTTCATTTTAGTCCCATGTCACTATATTATGACATGGGAACATTAAGGAGAGGCTACTGTGAAAGGGCCAGAGAACCAGGGAGCTTCCTCAGTCAGGTTCATGGAAAAATACATGACCAGACATGTTGGAAATGCTTGGTTAATATACATTGTACTCAGTTTGGAAGGGGTAGCATATTTAAAAGAAAATGTTATGGGCAGAGGCCAGAGAACCTCAGGATGAAATATCCTACCTGCAACTTAAGATATGAATAACTTGCTGAGACATTTGAATGTGTGGGCAGTTTACAGGTGTTTGCTGTAGTATTCTAGTCTTTTTTCTGAAAGTTCAGAAGATTTCAGAATATTGTGGGTAGGAATACATTATATAGAGCTCGTGCCACTCTACCTCTTAAATTGTGGGACAGCCAAAAAAAAAATGGTCTAAAGTATTTCAAAGTCTTGGAAGTCTTAGAATAGGAAAGGATATGAAACCAAGACTTTTTTTTTATTATTAAGTTTATTCATGGAGGACACACTGCCAAGATTTCAGACTTCAGTTGGAACCCCAATGAACCTTGGGTCATTTGCTCAGTGTCTGAAGATAACATCATGCAGATATGGCAGATGGTGAGTTGAAATTTTTTTGTAATTCCTGTATAACCATTTCACTGGTGATAGGATGTAATAAATATTTTATTATTTAGGTGAGTGACTATTAAAGTTTTAAGATGGGAACAGTTTAACCTTTTGAGCCTACAAGATGGCTCATAAAACATATGATCTATGCCTGAAACCTATATAAAAGTAGAAGGAAAGATCACAGAGTTGTCTCCTGACCTCCACATTTGCACACATGTGTCACAATAGTAATAATAATTTGTTAAACCTTTTCCTTTTTAACAACCTAGTAAAGTTTAGCTCAATACCATTTTATTCACATTCATATAAACATGCAGTGTCTGTTCAACATTTATCATTGCACTGTTAGCTGGGATCTTGACATGTAGACATACTGGTCTCTGGCATCAGTGCTGTCACACCTTGAGGGTATGAGAAGGAAGTATTAAGTGTGCAAATGATGCTAAACTCTTACAAAAAACACTAAATATTTGGCATTTCTAAGGTTCTGAGTTAATTGTTGTTTTCAAGAAGATGCCTTTGCTGAACAGCAACTAAATAGTGTGTGCGTGACTGTCCTAGGTAACTACATATTGGCAAATAATTTAAAGGGTACCTGCCACTGAAACACATTGACAGTAAATTTTAAGATGTAGAGTCACCGATATAAAATCTATTTTTACCTGTGAATTTATTTGGTTGTTATCTCCAGGCTGAAAATATTTACAATGATGAAGAGTCAGATGTCACGACATCGGAACTGGAGGGACAAGGATCTTAAACCCAAAGTATGAGGTGTTTCTACTGAATGTATTGCTATATGAATGCTTGATTTATCAAGCGCCAAAATGTCATTGTATAGTAGGAAATGTAAGTGGGATGGCTTATGGCATTCTTTACCCTCTGATTCTAGCACTTTCAAGTGAGCTGTTGCATACTGTATCATACTGTAGCTATTTGGGGAGAAAAAGGAATGTTGCTTAAGAGAGGCATCATTATTGTTTTAAGATACACATTGCTGGGTATTGCCTTTGATTCAACTGTTTTAAGCCCTCATTTTCTCAAACTGTTAAGTGCTTGCTGAAGTTCCCAAATATGCAAGGATAACTTTTACACTTTTTCCTTCCAACACTTCTTGATTGGCTTTGCAGAAATAAAGTTTTAAAATAAAGTTTTGTTTTGTTCTTATAGAAGATGGGGAGGGGTGGATGTGTGTCCATGCTTCCATATCTCATTTTTTGGGTAGAAATAGGTAAAATTATTCCTTCAGATTTGTACACAATTAAGGCCACATGGACACCCAAAGAATACACAGAAGCTGTTAAATTTATCATACATATTTACTTAATCTATACAGAATCGAGTAGATAAAATCAGATTCACGTTAGTGAAAAATCTCTACAAAATGTCTTTGAAAAGCAAAACAAGACTGCCTCTTAACAATTCATATCCTCATGAAAGACGTGGGCTGTAAAAATAAAGCAGTGTGTTTTTAGCACAAACTAGAAGATATCTGCATCATTTTTTCACAGTTATTTCCATCTACAGTCTGAAAGAGGTAGATTTTTCTGCAACACCTGAGAATTGAATTGTGATAACCAGGTGTATAATAAAGGCAGTTGCATACATAACTAAAAAATACTGGTCTCAAGACCAGAAAATGTATTTCTACAACTCTGAGGATGAAATGGCCTTATAGCCAAGACCCAAGTTTTCGCTACATTTTGGGGTCTACTGCCACTATAAATATACATAAAGATTGCATGGTAGTGCACCAAATGCAGTAAGTGAATTCAACATTTAAACCTTTTCTGGGCCAGCTTAGTAGCATTACAGTGTTCTATAATATGGTAGAATATAGGGCGTGCTACAAGGCCACAACACGGGGCTGGTGAGGTGATCACGTTAGGGGAGGGTATCCTTCTCTGAGGTCCCATTTGTTTTTATTCACAGGGTAATGGGAGGAGAGATTCTGAGTGTATTCCTCACAGAATCCCTAGCCTCCAAACATCTAGCTAGAAATGCATGTAAGCCAAAAGCAGCAGGCCAGGACTGTTAATCACATTGCTTTATAAAGCCCTTGAAAATATGCAACAGGTCCAAGATTTACAGTCTTCCACACAAGGACAAGCACCACAAAAAAATGTGGCAGGCTACACACATGGCTTAATAAAATGTTAAGAGCTGTATATCCAGCAGACTTAATGAAATATGATCATTAGTAATTATTTCAAAGTAGATTATACTTCTGATACACCTTCATGGGAAATGAGTCCAGTATTTCATTTAGTAGCTGAAGGTGGAACTTGTTTTATAAGAGGCTATTAGAAGGTATTGTTTTTGTTTCTGACTCTGACAACCTACTTTATGAATTTCTTTTCCTCCATTGTCCAGCCCCTTGATTAACATGACCAACCAATGGTAAAAAGTTTAGAAAGACAATCTACTCGATTGTTTTCTATCTTTTGAACAATTTTTAATTCTTTGAACCCTGTTTAAACTAGGAATATGACAGGAGTTTGCAAATGAAACTTTTAGCAAAGAGAAATGGAGTTTAATTCAGTCCAGTAACCAATTCAAGTGTTAGTCTAATAAATAGTTCTGGTCAGTAGAATGTAGTGCATCAGTTTTATTTGAACCTTTAAAAAATTACTTTATTAAAGGCATTCCCATGCAAATTATACCAGGGACAATAAAGACCTAGTAATTTGCATGGCTGATCCACATTCAACACTTAATTTTGAAATTCCCCAATTCAAAGTGTAGAAATGCTAATAATACTGCTTTGTATTTTTGTTAAGTGACAGCATTAAAGAAAGAAACAGACCAAAAAGCATGTTAAAGGTGTTTTTGACTATGTGAACAATCTGCCAAGTTTTCCCAAGATAAAAATGCTGATTCCAGTGTTTTAACTTTGGAAATTAGATGTTTCAGTTAGTGCTGATTCATAATTTAAATTCTCTTTTAGGAGACAAAATAACTGGTGTTCTTTGCTGATGGGACTTGTAAACCTAGGGCCTCTTATATGATTGGCAAGTGCTTACCATTAAACTACATCTACAGCCCCCTGGTGAGAATCTTAAAGCAAATGAACAGACAACTTTCACATAGCCAATATATTGTGTGGATGTTGGGGGATGGTCCTTTTACCTAGTGTAAGCTCCATAACTTACCCCAAACTTACAAAGTACTACAAGGAAGAGCAATTTTAAGTGAATAATCAGCTTTTTGTGGGAAGTGGAGAATTATGTACATAAACCACCACCATCCTCTACGGTGATTATCAAGTAGTCCCAGCTTTCACATGTACATTCTCCACCCCAAAACCAGCACAATATTGACTATTTTTAGTTGCAGAAACATTAGGCCTGATCATCCAATACTTTGCCTATTTTGTTTACAAGCAATATTTTTATATATGTTCTGTCAGAACTTCAAGGTTGTGTGGTCATTTCAATTTGTCAAGCAAATCAAAGTTAATTTGAATGAAAATGTTAAGCTAGTTTCTGACCTGTGCCCTGGGCTATCAAAAAAAAAAAGGTAATCATCTTGGCATTTTCCTTTGAATAATATTAGCGGGCTAAGATACTTATTAAAATTGTTTCCACATCAAGGAACCATCAGAAGAGCATAAATTCCTCTAATGGCCTTGTCTTAAATGATTTTTTTTAATTAGGAAAATTAAGTGTAAGGAGTAGGAAGAGAGGGGACAAAGCAATGAAGACATGCACTCCCAACAAAGGAGGAAAATGAGGCAGATGTGCAACATAGTTTATAGATTAAAACTATTCCAAACTGCTAAGCAGCCTCCTGTACCACATTAAGTCCAGTAGTTCTAAGAAAATACAGATATGGTAGAAAAAGTAAGAAAAATTTCACCACAAAACCAATAGTTACTACTAACAGAGGAAGTTATACACAAAATAGGTCTCTGAATACAGTGATCGTACTTCATTCTAGTCAACTGACTCGATGTCTTGAGCAGAACCTGAAGAGGAGGGCTTTTGTGCAGCACTTTTTCTCTCATTCACTGACTTGGCCTTGGCTCTAGCCTCCAAGTGCATTCCCAAGGCTCTTCTTGAAGGGTTCATCTCTTTGAAGGAATCCAGGGCATCACAGGGCTGCATCGCAGGTGACACCAAGTCCCCATCTGCAGCTTTGATAGAGACCTGCTCTTTCAGGACTTCGACCTTCTCGTTGAGCTCATTTCTTTCTGTCTGAAGAGCCCTGCACAGCTTCTCTAACCGTTCCAGTTTTATTTGAAAGGCCTTGTACTCTTTATCACGAACAGTTTTCTGTTGTGTTTTTTTTTTTTAGAATGAAAAACAAAACCAGTCGAGAGTTCCATAACCTCATTAAATATAAATCAGGTATTGTTTGTAAATAAAAAGTAACTGAGCTGAAACACATTGGAAACCACCTGTTGTCTATTAGACATGTTTAGTTTCTTTAGAAATGTAATACTCAAGCTAGCTTACCTTGAATTCATATGTAGCTTAAATATAGAACTGCTATTTAATGTTTCTTAAAAATAGATGAAATCTCCTTAACTTGATAAAAATTTCATGTTAATGTAAAGAAATTGGAGGTTAGTTGTCAAAGGCTTGCAAACCTTAAGAGCTTGATTAGAACAAGATTTTTTTTTTTTTTTGAGGGGACAGGTGTAGCCCTGGCTACTCTAATATACCACTCTGTATACCATGCTGGCCTTGAAATCAGAGATCTGCCTGCTCCTGCCTCCCATATGCTGGGATTGAAGATGTTCACCACTGCCACTTGGCAGAACAAGATTCTTACACATGTGCGTGACTGCAAGCAATGCTTTTTTTCTCTCTTGTGACATGGCCAAAAATTGTTGCTTTTTTTTTCAGTTAGAAAGGCAGTGGGGGTGTTTGCTGGCAGTCACACTAGGAAGTCCAGTGGATGAGCTTCCCTAGGTCTGGAATCATTGCTTAGTTGGTTTTGTTTAAAGACAAGATCTCACCATGGAGCCTTAGCTGGCCTGGAAGAAATCCTATCTGTGCCTTTTGAGTGTGCTGTTAAAGCATGCACCATCAGGCCCAGCCATCTCCTAGATTATTGCAGGCGCTAGACCTAACTCAGACCTAATGATGCAGCATCTCTGGCTGGGACCCAGCAATCCTGGTGTCTTATAGGAGAATATCTATTATAGATTCAAGTTTGAGAAAATACTGTATCAGAAGATGTTTGAATTAATTGGGTGATAAAATGCTTGATCTTTCATTCAAGAACCTCTACCTCTCTCTAGCTACCAGGAAAGGCATCATTCTATTCAGTAACTGTTGTACTCTAATGTATAACTAATGACACACCCTATTCTCAGGAAACCATCTTACCTCTTCAGCCATCTGCAGAAGTGCTTTATTATTGTTTTCCCATTTGGTGCGCCATATTATTGTTTCTTTTTCCAGTTTTTTAATTTTCTTTGTCATCTGTGAATTAACATAATTACAACTTTAAAATCTAAGTTAACAGTTGAAGTTTTCTTCATGTGTGTGAATGCTTTGACTGTGTGTATATATGTGTACAACATATATACATACATACGTATCTGGTGCCCTCAGAAAGTGAGAAGGCATCAGATCCCGTGGAACTGAAGTTAGTTATAGATGATTGTAAGCCACTATGTGGGTGCTAGTAACCGAACTCCAGTTCTCTATAAGAAGTAAGCTTAACTGATGAACCATTTCTCCAGACCCTAAATCCTATCCTATTTCTATGGACTGTCCTGTTATCAAAAGCTTTAATGTTGTTCCCCATCACTGCATTTGTCTCACTGAGCTGTCATTTCTCCCTGTCTTCAAATATTGATGTCCTTATTACAACCTCCAATCATTTGAGAATTAGAGGTGGTAGAATTCAGTTAACAGTTCAGGAGAAACTAACGTTACGTTTTGGTTATCTTCACAACTCTATGTAAGACTTCTACCTTGAAGTTTACTAAAAGTAATGAAGTAGGCCCAAAAGAATCAAAACCATTTTTTTTTTGACAAGGTCTTACTATATAGCCTTGAATTGGCTGGAACTTGTTATGAACATGTTGACCTAGAATTCAGAATTCCAGCCAGTTGGTAGTGCCTTGGGAGGCAGAGGCAGGCAGATCCCATGAGTTTGAGGCCAGCCTGGTCTACAGAATGAGTTCCAAGACAGTCAGGGCTCCATAGAGAAACTCTTGTCTTGACAAAAAAAAAAAAAAAAAAAAAAACAAAACAGAATTAAAAATTCTGCCTGCCTATGTTTCTGAAGTGTTGGGATTAAAGGCGCACAACACTATGCCTGGGCAGAGGAACTCTGCTACAAGAACCTCAGGTTTTTTTTTAAGTTGAGAATGCACTGATCTCTGCAATTATATCCACTGAATTCACCACTAGCTATGATTCAAGTCAGAAGACTGAGCCAGTTGACACTGGCTCTGGGACACTATTCTGTGGCTAATACAAACTAGGATGAAGGCCATGGAGAGAGATCATAGAAGAACTGAGTTGAGTACTAACGCACAGTGATCTGTATTCTTCCATCCCACAGGACCCTCCACAAGGATAGAAAATTTGGGGAGTCCCTGTCTTGAACTGTGTTCCACTTCAACAGTGAGCATGTGCTGGAATTCAGCTAATACTTACTGTGCCTAAGAGTTACCCCTCAATCGGAATATCAACTCAAATGATTGGTAGGCAGAGCAAATTTGATCATGGAATTCTCCAGATTACTAGATCTAAAAATACCTCAAGGTGGTAATCTGAGCATGGTTTAGCTCATGGTAATTAAGCACATGTTTAATGTGCCAAACACTATCAGAAATTGGTGGGTCTTTTAAAATTGTTTTTTAAAGGGACAGAAGGCTAGTGAGGAGGTATTTGTCACCAAGCCTGACGGACCTCAATTTGATCACTGGAACTTACATGGTTTAAGGAGAGAACCTATTCATAGAAGTAGTCCTCTGACCTCCACGCATGTGACATTGCACATGTGTGTACACACACAATGAGTAAATGGGGGAGGGGGGCAAAAAGTTAGAACAACTTGATTACAATCATACTTTTTTTAGGTTTATATTTTATTTAAGTGTATATCTATGTGCATATGGCCATGGGTGCCAATGAAGACCATAAGAGGGCATTGGATTTCCTGGAGCTGGAATTAAAGGTAATTTATCAGTGACTTGACATGGGTGCTGGAACCGGGAGCATGATGCCCACAGAGAGCAGAATAGGACATCAGATCACCTGGAGTTAGATGGTTTGTGAGCCACCCAACATGGGGCCTCTGCCACAGCAACCAGTTGTAATGAAATGGAGACACTGATCCAGAGCATGCATTCTTGGCTACCAAGATGGAGTAACAGTCATGGTTTACACTATACATTATGGTACTTTTCAACACCACTTTTAAAAATTGTTGTCTGATGTGGTGTGAGCCTATAGCATCAGTTAGGGTTAGGCCTGGGAGGAATGAGGGTTGAGGCAAGAGGGCTGCTTGAGTCCAACCATGGCATCACAGTAGGGGGAAAAAAAAACCTGGGAGTGGTATTACAAGATTCTGGAACATCAGATATTCAAGGTCATGTCAAACTATGCCAGTCTGGATTACACACACATTTTTTTACACAGGCAAGGAAAGGAATTTTGTGAAAGGAATGAAAGTAAGCCTATAAATTGAAGAAGCATGTTTCTAAAAATAAAAATTTGCTGTAACTAAGGCAGAATCCTAAAAGTATAAAGATCAGCTTAGCTATTTGGGGACACACTAAGGAATAAAGTGACGAAATATAGCCTTCTATTTGGAAAGATAAAAGACAGTCTTAAAACAATATAAACTCACCCAAGTAGTTTGTATATATTGCTCGTAAGATCTCTTATATTTCACTCTACTAAAAACATACAAATACCTTTTCCATTTCCTGCCTGAAGGTTGTAAAAAGTTCATTGCTTTTTGCCATAGTAGTCTGGAATTCTTCAAATTTATCCATATAAAGAGAAAGCTACAGAACAAAATAAAAAGTCAGTCATTCTGAGTTGCAGGTAAACAATTCAAACTCAAACATTCTACATGATGAAGTTTAAATGTGATACTTGTTATAAATGTCAGAAGAACAAAAACCCAATCTTTGTATGGCAGACAGATAGCAAAAGTTCTGATAACTCAAATCTAGTACTTGGGATGCTTACTGCTGTTAACATATTTAAAATGCAAAAACATTAATGCAAAATGCATTAATTAAAGCTCAATGGCCACTGTAGTTAGAAATTTCACACACCTGTAAATGCTTTGAACCCTCATCCCCATTTACATTTGAAAACTGTAAAAGACCATTCTTCTGCATAGCTCTTAGCTTAGTATCAATGATATCTCCTGAGTACAGGCATGAAGCTAGCTGGGAACAGTGAGAATGGTTAAGGAAATAACAAAAACTAAGAAACACCATTTTTTCTTTTAGTTTCAAGGAATTTGTGTTCAAGATGAATTTAAAAAAACTATAAAACACCTCACCTTCATTGTCCTTTAGAAAAAGCATCCAGATAAGACAGTGTGAGAGTATAAAGAAAGGGAAAGCTTTACATTCCAGGAGGCAGCCCTTTAGAGATGGTCTTATGTCATTCATTACAGGGAAGACAAGTCCAGGGGGTGAATAGTCTTTTTTTTTTTTTCCCAAGATCACAAAATATGCAAGGACGGCTGGAAAGATGGTTAAGAGTGCTTGCTGTTCTTGCAGAGGACCTGGGTTTCGGTTCCCAGTGCCTGCATGGAGGCTCACAACTCTCTGTAATCTCTTCTGACCCCTGCACCAAGCACATACATATTCGAAAGCAAAGCACTCATACACATAAAAATTTTAATCTTGTGAAGTAGAGGGGGCATCTGGGGCTACCACATAGCAGTAGAATGTTTGCTTAGCATGTGCAAGGACATGAGTTTAGTTCCTTCAGTCCCCAGTAATGAACCAAATAAAGAGGGCAGAATGTCATCAGTAATATGAAAAAAAAAAATGTAACAAAACGTGGGAGGCTGGGGTGGAATATGATGGAAGGCAGCCCACCCACACAGTTCCTGGGTAGAGGAGGCACTACTGTCGTGGAAGCAGCAGCAAAGTTCATCAGACTAAAAATTATCACTGGGAGAACAACAGGCAGCACCTTCAGAAAAGTGTAGGAAAAGAACAGGAACTGCAATAGAAAGCAGAGGATTGTTGGAAGACATATGTAAAAAGAACTTTTGTTAACTGCTTCAGTTGTCTGGGAGGGTTACTGCTTCTGTTTGCTAACCTAGCACTAGAATGTTTTCAGCCTCTTGAGGCTTACTGAGCTCTGGGCTGGCTGGTTCACCTCAGCTGTTCTGGCTCACACTTGTCTCCCAGCTAATTTATTCAATCTGGCTTTTCTCTCAGCCTCTGAATTACTCTGCTTGGCCTCAAACTCCAGAAATCAACTCTAATCTCCTAGCTCCTCATTCTCTGGCTCATTTCATCTTTACCTGAGTGCTCTCTGCAACCTGTCTCTCAGTTACTGTCCCTGTAAAAACATGGACAAGGTGTTCCACCCGAACAAGGCATCTGAGGCTGATGACCTGAAGTCTGGGACAACAGTGGTGCTCTAGTAAGTAAGGACCACTTTCGGCACTTGTAATGAGACACTCCAGTACTTTGAGTGAGGTGGTCTGTTCAACTGAAGGTGGGACATTCATCTAAAAGACTGTCTCCTTTGAAAGTTCAATGCTGGCCCACATTACTGAATAGATGCCAACAACCCATTTGGACTTACGTGGCATATACAAAACAGTGGGCCAAGGCATACCAATAAGACAAGTAATATTAACAACTACTATGAAATATGATCCGTGAGAATATGAGTAAATGATAGCAATTCTTGGAAAGGATGGTAATATTCCAGTAATAGAAAAAGAAATAAAGGAAACAGTAAGATGGCACAGGTCACAGACAGCATTAGCAGTACCTTATCTTCATTGATTCTCATCTTCATTTACTTGGACAAAATGAATGAATAGGACTGATAAGTGATGGGTTTGAATTTCCTACTAGCCTTCTAGCAATGATCATAATGTACGTGAAAGTTAAAATTTGTACTCTTGGGTGATAGTGGTGCACATCTTTAATCCCAGCACTCAAGAGACCTGGCAGATCTCTGAGTTTGAGGCCAACCTGGTCTAAAGTGAGTCTGGGACAGCTATGGCTACACAGAGACTTTGTCTCAAAACAAACAAAAATTGTACGCTTAAACTAGGCTAACTGTAGGAAATTAATGTCACCAATATTCTTTTTTAATATAATTTATTTTACTTCATGTGCTATGGTGTAAGGGTGTCAGACCACCTGGAACTGAAGTTACAGACAGTTGTGAGCTGCCATGTGGGTGCTGGGAGTTGAAGCCGGGTCCTTTGGAAGAGCAGACAGTGCTCTTAACAACTGAGCCATATCTCCAGCCCTGATGTCACCAATATTATAAAATGACCCACATGATCTACCCGCTCACCAAATAGTATCCAGAAGAGGTGCTTATAAAGATTCATGCCAGACTTTTTAAAGAGACTTAAATAACTAGAACATAGTTAGCTAAAAAGGGGTAAGTACAAGCACCTAATTTCACCTATTAAGACAGGAAGTCTTTCTTATACCCTTGGAGATGGATGGCACACAGTACTCTCATTTCAAACAGATTGTACCAGAACACCTGCAGAGTCTGGATGGATAAAAACACTTACAAAACTATGTACAAGTGGAACTATGGTTACAAGCAGTTTTTAAACAGCTTAGGTGGTAAATTAGCACAAAAGTATAAACAGGTTAAGGTGTATGAAATTGTATAACATTCTTTAAAATCTGGAAGCTTGTCAAGTTTCCCTATGTCAAAATTCATTGAAACAGTAAGTATCTGGGACCTTGAAAATGAGAATCATTAAAGATGGATAACTAACCATCCCAGTTCAGCTCAGATTTGGGAGTAAGAGCCTACTACGATATAGGTCATTTAGTACTAAAACCAGGGACACCCTCAGATTTGGATGGTTACCCTAAATGAAAAGAGATATATGAAACTTTCCTCAGCCTTGGTCAGCTCTATGCTGTGAACAAGCAAAACCACCTTAGAGGCGGTTCAAGGTATATATTAAATGAATCACTTTTCTTACAAAGTCTGTTATCCCCAACTATCAAGTTACCTGCTGTTTTAGTTGTACTTCTTGCTGTTTCATTTGTTCGTATTTGTGCCTGGATTCTGTTGCTTCTTTTAATAACTAGAAGACAGAAACATTCTTGCAGAAGTACTAATAGCAATTACAAATACGAATACAATGTTAAATAACCATACAGTTAAACCACATCCTTCTGCTCATTATTTTAGCAAGAATGACTATCCTACAAATGGAACACCTTTTTTTCCCACCAGTTGCCATTCACACACACCTTCCGTCATCATACTTACGGAAGTAGAAAGACATCTTAAGTAGAAAAAGGTATTGTGGAGGCCTAAACAATTTACAAACTTCAGGGTTTTAAGGGTTTTTTAGTACAAACATGGCTGAAAAAAGTTCTTTGCTACCTGAGGAGCAAGATAATATGGGGTAAAAGGGTATGGAGAAAAACAGTAGAGAACAGGTTCCTGAGCATTAAAAACAAAAAACAGGGAGGACTGGAGAGTACTTCAGAGGATACAGTGCATGCTTTATAGGCAAAAAGTCCCGGGTTCAATCCTCAGTACCTCATAAATTGGGTGTGGTGGCTCAAGATGTTCAAGGTCATCCTCCAGGCAGACAACAGTGGGAGACCCTGACTCAACAAACTCATAAAATAAAATTACACCAATGAAAATAAATTTACTAGTGTCAACATGTTCAAAAACAAAACCATGGCAAGGTATGGTGGTATATGCCTTAATTTTAGCAGAAGACAGAAGCATGTGGGTCTCTGAACAGAAGCAGCCAAAAGCCTTCTAGAGTGAATAATTGACCATCATACCGCAGGGGTGACATTCAGTGTAATAGTTAAAATACTGGAAATACCTTTTCCTTTTTTTTTTTTTTTTCTTAAGGAACAGAACTTACAAATTCTCTCTCTCTCTGATGTTTTTCATCAGCTTCTTTTATCAGCTGTGTTGTTTGCTGAAGTTTGGCATCCACAAGCTGTTGTTGCAATTCCTTGTGTTTGAATACTTTATCAATATGCTATGGAAAAAGAATTCCTTCCATCACTTCATGAAGACGGAAACAATGGGGAGGAAATATAAAATGTTACAACACTCTGCTTGCCCTGCTTTCCTAGTAGTGCCACAAAGCTAAGGACACTATGTCTTTCTGTCCCTACACCTACAGTAATGTTTGACATCACCTCAAAGAGCACTGCCCTTAGTCATCACTGTTGGAACTAGGCATCACCATAAACTTTATAAACCTTGTTTCTGCTCTGTACTGAGAAAGTCAAATGTCAAGACAAAGAGATCAAACTAATAGATCCAAACACACACACACTGCATTTTCTGCCCATTCCTTTTTTTCTACCCGTTAAACTTTACTAAACTCTTCAACTGAAGGCAACATATGATAGTCTGAATGATATTAGTCAAAGCCAATCTAATGTGTGAATCCTAGCAAATTTCTGTCTCACTAAACCTCAATGCCAGTGTCTGGTTTAACCATACCCATGTTTACTGAGCTGTGAGGAGGTGAATCACCTAAAGAGCCATACCAGACATTGGGCAAAAGCTTATATTTCTAGCTAAAACTGGTAAGTGTCTAGGTATATACACTGAAGCCATGAAAACATGCATACCTCTGGGGAATTTAGGATTCTTCCAGTTACAGTTGATATGTAATGGGAAATACTAGTGGGTAATAAAAAGGTAGCTTAGGTATTAAGAACATGGCAGATAATTTCTTTATTTATAAATTTTAACATGCCATAATATTAAACACAGATAACAAGATTCAAACACATGATTTTCTAGTTTGCTACATCTATGAAGAAGCAAACAGCTCATGAAACAAACAAAAACCTAAAAGAATCTTAAAATTAGGGTGAGGTCCAGCCTGGTGGGATATGACTTTAATCTCAGAAGGAGGATCTTTGTGAATTCAAGGCCAGCCTAGTTCATATACAAGCTCCATGGATAGCCAGGATTACAGAGAAAACCAAAAGGAAAGAAAATGACGGCTTTAATAATTTAATAATAAATCTTAACCTGTATGACAACAAACCACAAAACTTTATTTAATATGCTCTTCAATAATAAAAAAGGACAAGGAAATCTGTATTTTGGAGATGAGACATAAACTAGTGAAGTAGATGGGCTTTACTTGGATCTTAATTCAGACTTTTTAATAACAGAAAAGTAGGAGCTCTTGCTGTTCTTCTTGCTGTTGCTCTTGCAGAAGACCCAACAATGGGCAGCTGAAAACTGCCTGTAATTTGCAGCTCCAGGGAATCCAATACCCTCTTCTGACCTCCTGGAACACCCAAACCCACACATAAAATCTAAAAAAAACAAAAAACAAAACAAGCAGATGCATTCTAGCAGTGATTAGATTTAGCATTAAATAATTTCGCTTTTTAGATGTGAAAATGATATGGTCAAAAAAGAACTTTCTGATTTATACACTAAATATCTATGAATGGGGCTGGAGAGAAGGCTCAGTGGTTAAGACCACTGGGTGTTCTTCCAGAGAATCTGGCTTTAAGTTCCAGCACTCATAATGGTGGCTCACAATCATCTATTAACTTCAGTTTTAGGAGATCTGACACTGTCTAGCTTCCTTGGCTTGGGCACCATGCACATATGCACAGACACTTGCAAAAAGAAAACCCACACACATAAAATAATTTTAAATTTTTTTAATGAGTTCAAGCCATAGGAGCTGTGGACATGACTCAGCAATACAAATACTGCTGAGTTTGGTTACCAGCACCCACCTTGGGCAGCTTACAATCACCTTTAATTTCAGTTCCAAGGGATTTAATATCTTCTTGTGGCCACTGCACTCATGCACAAACCCATACCCAGATAAAAACAAACACATATACACATAATTAAAAATAGACTTGAAAATCTTAAAAAGTGTTTGAGGCCATATTGAAACACTGGAAAAACAAAATAAAACAAAACCTGAAATCTTAGCATTCAGGAAGCAAAGACTACATCTGCCATGAGTTCCAGGCCAGCCAGGAATACAGTGAGTTTCAAGTCGTCAGCCTGATCTACAGAAAAAGATCATATCTAAAACAAACAACATCAACAACAACAAAAATACATAAAAGGCTGGGCACGACGGTGAATGCCTTTAATCCCAGCACTCAGGAGTCAGAACCAGGTGGATCTCTGAGTTCCAGGCCAGCCTGGTCTAAAAGGAGTTCTAGGAACAGCCACATCTACACAGAGAAACCCTGTTTGAAATGTGTACCCTTCCCAAAACAAACAAAAAACCAAAGAAACAACAACAAAAACAAACAAACAAACAAACAAACAAAAACCCACAAAAGACAGAGGCCCTAGGTATGAGTTAAATGATAAAACATACTTAGCATATATAAGGTCACTGGGATTGATTCCAGCACTAAAAGATTAAATTTAAAAAATGGGTTGAGGGTAGCTAGTTTAGTAGCAGAAATCCCTCATTAAATTAAAAAAAGTTTTTAAAATGTAACACTGAGCATGGTTTATACATGGCTGTGGTCAGCTGCCTGGGAGGTTCAAATATGGGGATCTATTTAAGCGTACAAGTTAGAAGCCACCCAGGGCAAAAAGCAAAATCCAACTTCAATGACCATAAAAACACCAAACCGTGAAACATAGATGTAATAATGTAATGGCTATATATCTGTATAGATTATCACAAATGGGTGAGATGCAGGGTATCCTGGGACCAAATATTAATTCATTATTAGTTCAGATAAAGTAATCTTTGTTGTGAGAATTGCTATTTTCTAGTATTACTTGAAACTAGTATTTAATAAAACTCTTAGAAATTATCTTACCTGTTCATGGAGATAGACTCTCAATTAATCCTTCTGGTTATGCAATGGTTTGATCCTTTCCCTAGTCAATAAACCCACTTCTGCTACACATGAACAGAAGTTCTAAAACATCCTGCAGCAACACTTTTACTCTAGTAGTAAACAAAGTTGCCACTAACAGTGAGAAGTTGTGTAAAGTAATCGAATGCTGTTACCTCTTCCCTCAGTGCATACTGCTCAATGAGTTTCTTCAGCTTCTCTCCCAGTTCGATGTTCTCCTGTCGGAGTTTGGCATTGTGTATGTCATGTTGTTCCAGCTGAGCTTGGATTTCATTTAGAGTAATCTGGAAATGTGCTGTCGCTTCTTTACGTCGTTCTTCTTCCTCTCGTGCCTGCTGCATATTTTCCTCCTTAGTACCCAAAAGAATTTTCTGTTAATAATAGACCTATGGACAAATGGCTCAAAGAAGCTGCTACACTCCTGTGATCCCAGCTACTCAAGAGGCTGAGGAGGAGATCTCAGAAGACCTGCCTGGGCTTATAGAGTGAGCTAAAGTCTGAGTAACTTAGTGAGACCTGGTTTCAAGCAAAAAAGTCAGGGAAAATGATTCACTTGGTAAAGTGCTTGCTGCCCAAGCTTAAAGACCTAAATTCAAACCAATAGCACTCACATAAAAAGTAGAGCATGGCAGCTTGTGCCTGTAATCTCAGCTCTGGGCGCATGCACACACACACACACACACACATACACACACACACACACACACACACACACACACACACACACGAATGTACCCCTCCCCCCCAAAAAAAGGTTGGAAAGTACTTAGTTTTTAAAAAGTACTACCTGGGCATCGGTGGCACATGCCTTTAATCCCAGGCAGAGGCAGGCAGATCTGAGTTTGAGGCCAGCCTGATCTACAAAGTGAGTCCAGGACAGCCAAGTCTACACAGAGAAACCCTGTCTTGAAAAACTGAAAAAAGAAGAAAAAAAAAATTTTGCCCAGCATGTGGAGAGACCCCCCCCCAAAAAAAAAACCCCAAAAAACAAAAAACAACGCTGTTGTGATGTATGTTTATAAACATGGCCTCTAAGGGTAAAGTCTATTCCCCTTATTTATGTCCAGACCGGAAAGCAGATTTAAAAGCACACTTCTTTTCTCTTTTCCCACACAGAGCACTGAGATACACAGAAGTCCCAGTTACATCAATTGAGGGTGACTGTCTACTGGAACAGGTTTCTTGATAACCACACAAAGAATCAGCTTAGATGAGCCTGAGCAAACAGACCCTCTTTCAGTTTACTTTCTATGCCACGCCTCTCATTCCTGAGAGGTCAAGAGACCAATAGCATCCTTATTTTCAAAAGCTTACTTTCAAGTGAATTTTAGTCCATTCAAAATGTCTAACTTTGTGTTTGGGGGGTGGAGTGGGAGTAAATTAAGTGGGACTGAAACATGGACCTTGAGCACACTAGACATGTGCTCTACCAGTAGGCTATATCCCCAACCTGTTTATTTTTCATTTTGAAACAAGATCTCATTAAGTTCCCCAGCCTGGCACTGAACTTGGTCTATAGCGTAGACAGGTCTTGATCTTGCAATACTCCTGCCTCAGTCTTCTAAGTAGCTATGGTCATAGGCTTGCACTGCTAACCCAGGTTATAACTGTATCTACTTTAAGATACAGTTATAAAAGTTCAGGGCTGAAGGGACAACTCAGTGGTTTAGAATACTTGGTCGTTTTGACTCCCAGCACCTACATGGTGGCTCACAATCATCCATTAACTCCCAATTCAGGGTAATTCCAATTTCTGTTGCCTGCTCCCTCTACAGCCACCAGCTATGTATTGGTGCATAGGTATACATGTAGGCAAAACATTCATACAAATATATTTTTCAATAAGTTAATAAATATGAAGGATCAAGAGTAAAGAAGGGACTGAAAAATGGGTGGTGGTGGTGGTGCACACCTTTAACACCAGAACTTGGGAGGCAGAAGCAGGTAGATTTCTGTGAGTTCAAGGCCAGCCTGGTCTACAGAGCTAGTTCAGGACAGCCAAGGCTGTACAGAAACCCTGTCTTGAAAAAAACAAAAAGGGAGGGAAAAAAAGGGACTAAAGAGATGGTTCAGAGATATATACTGCTTTTCCACAAGACCCAAGTTCAGTCCCCAGCATACATATCATATCAGGTGGCTTACAACCATCTATATCTCCAGAATGCATGCACACAGACATCTTATGTAAAAATCTTTTTAAAAAAAAGAAAGCAAATGATAATACCCATCTGATTTAAAAAGAACAAAGCCAAACATGTCCTAAGTTAAATGCTGTTGTACTTAGGTCCTTGGGATGTAGTTGGGGGAGGGCATTTCCTCAGAGTTCTAGTTCAGTGTTCTACCCAAGTACACAGGGACAGGCCAATTACAATGTTAAGAGGCAGATTGCTCTCATGGCTCCTTTTTCTCTCTTTCTCCATGGACACCCATTCATTTTTTTTGGTACCTGCTCACTTTTTCTATAGAATCTGCCAAGATATGAGTGCTACTGCCAAAACTACTTATCAACCAAGAGTCGGACAGGAGGAATGGGCCAGGGAACTTGTGCAGTACAGCCCTGACATCCACCTGAATGCTCAGCAGTTCTCCCTTTTCACTGACTTTAAATTTACTACTTTCTAATTTCATGGCAGCTACTTTCGTGCTCTGCAAAACCAAAACCAAACCCAGAACAAACAAAAAGACAAAACAAATAAAAAAAAAAAAAAAAAAAAAAAACCTGGCAACTCTGAGCCTTCTAAGCCATGGGCTTTGAGAGTGATAGGCCTGGAGAGCTAGGTCACTGGTTAAGAGCGCTGCTGCACTTGCAGAGGGCCCACATTTAGTTCACAGTACCCATCAGATGGTGGTTTATAACCGTAAGTAACTTCAGTTCCAGGAGATCAGACACCCTCTTCTGGGCACCAGACGTGCATATGGGACACAGATACACACATGGGCAAGACACCATTAACAAAATCTTTTTTTAAAAGAAGGTAGGTGGGAGTTCCATGTTCACTCCCTGTAAGCAAATCTGAGGGAATTCCTTTTTTGAACAGGAAACCCAAATGTAACATAGTGTTTCATCAGTCTCACATTCCATTGCCTCATACACAACATCAACCCAATCAAACCAGAAAAGGGGTCATATCTTGTCGCTAGATTTCAAACAGACACAAGGTGACCTTTTGTAACAGCACTTCTGTGAAACAGAAAGACAATAAATCAACTAACCTTTAAAGTCTTATTATGACGCTGAAGTTCCCTGCAAAGAGACTCCAGTTTGCTTCTTGCCAAGATGGCCTTGCTGTGTTCACTCTGTAGGTGAACTTTCTCTTTCACGATCTGGGCTTGCTTCTTCTGCAGAATCTTCATTTGTTTCTGAACATTCCTGCTCTCCTCCAGCTAAAATTAGCCAGCACTTTACATTCAGAAAGCATAGCAAAAGCCCCCAGTGCCTCAATGAAGGCTACAAGAATCAGTTATTGGCAGCTATGTGATTTTCTTTTTTTAGACAAGAGTCTTACTATGCAGCCCTCAAACCTTACTCTTAATCCTCCTGCCTCAACCTGAGATCTGGGATTATAGGCATGTGCCACAAAAGCCAGCTAAGAGCTGTGGCTAGAGGAGTGGCTAGGCAGTTAGGGGCACTTATGAATCTTCCAGGGGACAAGTTGTCTCAAAACTGCCTGTACTTCCAGCTTCAAGGGATCCAATACCCTTTTCTGGCCTCCATGGGCACCTGTAGCCATATGACACACAAACACAAACACATACACACACATTTTTTAAGTCTTAAAAAAAGGCTCATCACCCAAGGGAGAGGGGTCCTGGAAAAATGTGAGCATCAGGAACATTTCATTCAATCAAGATGAATATTCAGATGTCAAGACTTCAGCCTGTAATCCCAGCCTGGGCTACAATATGAACCTTTACATAAAAAACAAAACATGCCAACTATTGGGCTAAAGAGCAGGCTTAGCAGTAAAGAGTGCTGACTGTTTCTCTTGCAGAGGACCCAACAAGTTCATTCAGTTCCTAGGAGTCTGGAACTCCAGCTCCAGGAGATCTGACACCCTCTTCTGGCCTCCTCAGATAATGTATTCATTTATCTTCCCTCCCACCCCCAAATGGTAGAGCACTTGCCTCCCACAAGTAACACTTGAGGTGGGATTCTATCCACAGCACCACTAAAGAACTCATTACTGCAGTGGATAATTTTATTCAAGCTGTTTCATGCTATGTGAAACTATCAACCTCTTTTCTGAAGCAATTTACTGTGGATGGAAGAAATTACCTTAATTTTTCTTTAGCCCTTTAGATATACATCTTTAGGACATTATTTTCATTATTCAAGTTCAATTTAATTATCCAAATTTTGTACAACTATATCTGCCCAAGAGTTGCCCAAGAGTACACAGTGAGGTGGAGATTGTAATCTTGAAACCTTCCACATTGACCTGGGAACCTTGATTTGTTACCTTTGCTTGACTTCAAAGACTAATTATAGCTCTTCCTGGTTTCAAGTCAATGATTCATGAGCAATTTAGGCTCCTCAATCTCCAGTGTTCTGAACTGATGATATACTTTTATTTCTTGTCACAGAGTTTCATGTTCTGGGTTTAACCCTTTGTAAAATGAGCTAAACCCTATACTGGCCAGAACTAACTCAGTTAGTAAAGGCAGCATATTCTGAATTTCTGTTTGTTAAGTAGCTGTCTGTCTATAGGCTATTTTCTATCTATTAAGATTTGCTGAAAGCCAAACATAAAATACAAAATAATTGGGACTGGAGAGATGATTCAGTGGTTAAGAGCACTGACTACTTGTTTAGAGGACCTGGGTTCAATTCCTTGCACCCACATGATTCTCACAACCATCTGTAAGTCCCTGGGTTTAATTTCTAGCATGTATAAGCAGCCTACAACTGTCTGTAACTCCAGTCCCAGGGGATCTGACACCCTCTTCTGGTCTCCAAGAGCACCAGGCACATACATAGTACACAAACATACATGGAGACAAAATATCCATATACAAAAATAAAAAAAAAATAAATATAATAGGATTATTATGCTCTTGTCTTTATTTTCATTATAAAAGAAGTTGATGTTGTATCATCAAGATAAAATGGCTGGGCTTGGAGGGAGGCTTGCCATGCAAACCTTACAGCCTGAGTTTAATCCCCAGAACTCACTCTGAAAAGTTGTCCTCTGACCTCCACATGAACACTGTGGCACTCAAGTGTCAACATTCTTTCTCACACACACAAACCCATAAAAGCTGGTGTTTTAGGAATCAATACTCAACTTTACTTCTCTAAAATATCCAGACTACTGAACTAAATTTAGAACTTTTTAACTAACTAGGACTCGGTTCCTACAATATTAGGTTAGAAGCAAATGAATCCCTTTCTAGTTGACACCTACATTAACAGATAAGATGGCAGCTTTACCAACCTTTCCAAAAATCTTTTCCTGTAGAAACTGATGCTAAATCACAAAGAGTAAGAGTGCCATCTTGTGGCCCATCAAAATGCACCAAAAGCATCCTTGCCACAGGATGCTCATGTGTGCAATCCCAGTACTTGGGAGGGCAATGGAGGTAAAATCAGGAGTTCAAGGTCATACTTGGCAACATAATGAGTTCCAGACCACCCCAGGACAAACAAGGCTATGTCTATAAAAGAGCAAATCAAGCAAGCAAAAACTCCTTCCAAACTATCTGCTTACAGATACTTTTATACAAATTTCTATGGGAAGATTCGCTGCTCTTGCATAATGTATGAAGTTACCAAATCGTGAACTAGGCCTGGCAATATAACTTCACAGGCTGAAGAGTCACAATGAACTACTGCAAGCACTCCTGCTCCAAGATCACCACAGCCCCGTGTTCAATAATCTTGTTACCCTTTTTATGTTATTTCATCAATGTAGTCCTAAATAATTTTTTAAAAAGCAAACACCCTTGTTGGTTTTCATTATTGTGACTTTAGGATAGACTAGTATAAGCAAGAAAATGGTGCTTTCGCTTTCTGTAATAATTTCTGCTAATTTACATTAAGCAGCTACATGGTCTCTCTAGGATGCCACACTCTGGATTATATTGTTACAACTCAACAATATTGTTGGCCTGCACCTACTAATCAGGGATTATTGGGGGCACTGAGGGCAACAAACTGTCATGTAAAAAAAAAGTTATTCTAGGCTTCTCTCTGTCAGGTGGGGATAAAACTGAAAAGGACTCCTGTGGGCTTCATTCTGATGACTTAAAAGCAGGAAAGTGGGGACCTCCAGGTTGAAAATTTGGGGAGGCAGGTAGGTATCATCATGCCACAAGTCAAGAAGGGCCCAGGCAGTGAGAGATTCTTCTGGGTGTCATGTAGGTGTTTCAGCTTGCTCCATCTGAGAAGGGCAAAGAGCAGACAAAGGAATCTAGCCAGGAATAAAAGAGCTCTCTATGCACTTAGTCTGATCAGACACGGAGGATTCTTCAGGACCAACTGCATATATAGCACACTGTAGATGTGGTGCAGCACATCTCAGAGGGAGCCCACATCCAAGTCACCAGTATTCATGACAACAGTCATAATAATGGAGATTTTAACAGCTAGCTTGGAAATCCAGATAGCCATGCCTCGTATCTAGCAGGGACATCTTACTGGCAAATGAGTCAATGCAGAAGCACATCCCACATATCAGCTTGTATTCCTCCCCGGTGGAGATCCCTGATTGCTTCTTGCACTCACCATAGTGCAGACCATAGTGCAGACATGCTCCATTCTGGTCAAATAGGTGCAGGTTGTAGACAGTCATCAGAATAGCTGATGACTATAAATCTTTTAAAGATTTATCATTTATAAATATGAACATTCTACTTGCATGTACACCTGCAGGCCAGAAGAGGGCACCAGATGTCAGTATAGACGGTTGGGAGCCACCATGTGGTTGCTGGGAATTGAACTCAAGACCTCTGGAAGAGCAGACAGTGGGATTAAAGTTATATGCTACCACACCAGCCATCATGTATTTTTTTAAGATTTGTTTTATTTATTATGCATACAGTGTTTACCTGCAGGCCTGAACAGGGCACCAGATCTCATTATACATAGTTATGAGCCACCATGTGGTTGCTGGGAATTGAATTCAGGACCCACGGGAGAGCTGCCAGTACTCTTAACCTCTGAGCCATCTCTCCAGCCCCTCATCATGTATTTTTTTAAATACATTAAAACCCCACTCTTAGCCAGGTGAGGTGGCACACATATTTAGTCCCAGCACTTGGGAAGCAAAGGCAGGTAGATCTCAAGACCAGCCTACTCTACAAAGTAAGTTCTAGGATAAGGAGGGCTACACAGAAAAACTAAACCCTGTCTTGAACCACTCCACCCCACCCCCGGCCAAAAACAAAAAAAGAAAAAAGGGAACCTACTCTCACTTGTGGATAGTTCAGAAAAAACACAGGTACACACAGGCTACATAAGACATGTGTTTTCCTGGTATACACACAAATGAAATTCTCCAGGGTGCTGGCTTCTAGATGTTCAATTTATATAACATTACTAAACTTTTTCCAGAGTGGCTGGCAAATCTATATACCCAATAGCACTGTACTAAAGATAATGCAGGGGCTAGTGAGGTGATTCAGTGGTTAAGACTGCATACTGCTCTTACAGAAGAACTATGTTCAATAGCTATGTTCCCAACACCCATGCAGGGAAGCTCAAAACTGCCAAAAATCCCAGCTCCAGAGGATCTAAAACCCTCTTCTGGCTTCCATGCATGAATGTGCAAAGACATACATATGTAATTAACAGTAATTTCTTAAACAAGTAGGAAAAAAAAGACAAGAGACCATGCAAATCTATCCTCTTTAAGTATATGAAGATTATATTCCTTAATTTTTGCCACATAATAGGCATAAAATGGACCAGGCATTATGGCACATTCCTTTAAAATCTCAGGACTTAAGAGGTAGTGGCAAATGCTGGTGATCTTTGCTGATTTCCAGCCAGGGCTACATAGCCACACCCTATCTTTAAGAGGAAAGAAGGGAGGGAAAATGGCATCTCACAGTGGTCTTCCTCTCTGACTACTACATGAAGTTAATACCTCTACATGTCTTTATGGGTCTTTAGCCTAAGTGATCTTTGTACTTTGGTTTTCTATTTCTATGAGATGTCCCTTTCTTATTTTCTGCTGAGCTTTGTACTGGATTTTTTGTTTGTTTGTTTGTTCCTTTCATATTTACAGGTATTGTTTTATTCTTTTATGTTTATTCTTATTTTACTGTGCTAGGAATTGAATCCAAGACCTTGTATTCTCTTCTCACCTCAGCTCCCTGAATAGCTGGCATTACAGGCCTGCACTAACAGGCACTAATAGGCCCCAGTCTTTAAGGCATTTACAGGAACACATTGATTTCAGTAAGACCAATTTCTACAATTTTTATTTATTTACTTATTTATTGTATTTATATGTGCCACGACATGCCTATGGAGGTTAGAGGACAACTTCTAGGGGTCAGTTCACTCCATCTACCATGGGAGTCCTGGGGATCCAAGTCAGGTCATCACGCTCAGCTTTACCAACTGAATCATTTTGCTGGCCCAATTTTTCCTTCTTTTTTTTCCTTCCTTCCTTTTTTCCTTCCTTCCTTCCTTCCTTCCTTCCTTCCTTCCTTCCTTCCTTC